GAGGATGATCGTTGTGCAACGATCATTCAGATAATAACACAGATACGCGAAATTACGTATATACATGTACACATATATACCGTTAGTCTCTCTTTAGCCGTATCACGTGCGCCGCTGTTGCGCTACCGTGTATTTATAGTAGCTTGCAAAAACAAAACCGCGATCTTTCTCATTTCAATCTTCGTTTCATTTTTATCAGGCAACATACGCGATCTTCTCCGTATCAATTTTTCTCCCGTACCGTGATTTTAATTAGCAGACAGCTTATGCAAAATAAAACACTCACAGTATCAATGTAAGAGATATGCGTTTCAGCTGAACATCATTTATTTTACCGTTTAAACATTGAAATATCCATTCAGCTTTCAACATTCTCAACTGTTTTACAGATTACACGCGACGTTTATCATCTTCGCAGATTCAGTTCTATTATAAATGCATAAAATTCGCTGTCTAGTAATTGCAACTGCGACACGAGCGTGTGGTATCGTTAATTATAGGATCCTTAATACAGGGATGCAGTCCGTTCAATTTGATCGGCAAAGTGAAATCTAATTTCTACGATTCTGTTTGATTGCTGGAAGCCTCGGTGAGCCTGTCGCAGTTTGCCTGGACATTCGAGAAAGCTTCTGTAATGCGATCTCCGGCTGTGTAACACACTCTTATACATACCGCGCGTAACGCGACACCCGATCGCCGGCGCGCCAATTTATTTCACCGGCTAAAGAGTAGCTTGTCAACATTTTCTTATCAAACTCTCCGATATTTGAAAACATTCGATCGTCGATAACATTGTGAACTGAAGCTTGAAGCCTGTACTTGAATTCAGTTCCTCTGGAAATTTCATCTAAATAGACTATTAATAAGTGAAAATCAATGTTGAGTCGAATATTGTTTAATAAGAAGGTTTAAAAGTTTAGCCAGGCATAGAAGGAAGACTAAACTTGGAAGTTGTGTGATCGTTTGACGACTCAATGAGTAAAGCGATATTTAGCTTCTTTTTACTATCCTCGACTCGGTTGTTTATCACGTAAAACTGTAAGCACTAGCGTACAATGCATTCTTTCTGCCTATTTTGACAGTCACTCTCCTGTCTATTTCTGAACGTGGCGAAAGGTCGATCGCAACGTAGCTGGATACGAAAATAGCCAGGCGAAAATCGAGTGAAATGGCAACGCGGGGGTGCCTGTCTTCGAACGATCATTAAGAAATCGCTGAGTACATATTATTAACATATGCAACAATTTATGACAGATTAGAATACAGGCACTGTCGTTAATAACATACCGATTTAACTCGTTCACAGCTGAAATTGAAACTTGAACTCTCTACTTTCTATTATCTCGTCTGAGAATGTTGTGTAAATCGACGCTTGAGGAGCGAGAATTGTTAATGAACGAAGATATTCGTTAATCAGTAATTGTTATTGTTAACAACTTCAATAATATTGGACCGATTTACTTCGTTTGCTAATGAAATTAAAACTTGAAATCTCTAATTCAGTTCCATTGTCAAATTTTGATAAAACAATTCGTGTAGGGGATGAAAATCGAATTTGAATTAAACCTTGTTTAATTATATTGTGAAAAATATTGTTGAATTTCGATCATTCACAGCTTCATTAATAATGAACGGATCTGTTTCGTTCCAGGCTTTAATTACAGCTTGAATTCTGTACTTCCTATTACCTCTTGTGGAAATTTTAACTAAATTGACTTCTAAGAGATGAAAATTGACCTCGAGTCAAACCTTCTTCAATTATGAAAATTGTATCATCGTGAAAAATATTGTTCAACTTAGATCGTTCGCCACTTCATTAATAATGAACGGAATCACTTCCTTCGTAGCTCAAATTAAGGATGTACTGGCTATACAATCAATCCAAAAAGTTTATCCTCTTTAGAAACGCATTTTTTAAAAAGAAATCAGACGTCGGAAGAACATTGCTAATAATAAACAACAAAAACAAATTTTCGATTTTTCCGAGATTTTTCCAAGGGATGTCCCTTCAATTTCTTCCAAATTTTCGTTTTTGGTCAATAACTCCCAAACCGTTAGACATACGGAAAAATTGCATATGACCTTTCTTGTAGAGCACGGCGAGATCTACAATTTCCATGTAAAAAAATTTCGCTAGCGTCAATAGTTAACGAGTAATTTGCAAAAAACTGTTTTTTCGTTTTTCGTCAATAACTCGTTAAATATTAATGCTAGCGAAAAACTTTTATACAGAAATTGTAGATCTCGTCGTCCTCTACAAGAAAGGTCATATGCAATTTTTCCGTATGTCTAACGGTTTGGGAGTTATTGACCAAAAACGAAAATTTGGAAGAAATTGAAGGG